GTAAAGAGAGAGAGAGAGAACATAAAGAATCGTACGTACACGAGTGGGAGCAGGCCTGCACATAAGCAAATACGAGAGTAGCGCCAGCAAAAGCGAGCGAGAGATAGGTGGAGAGGGGCAAGGGTGAAAGAGAGAAAGAGCAAGATTTTCTTATAATTAGGAATGTACGTGTGTGGGTGGAGGAGTGTATGTATAGTGCGCTGGTAGGCGAACGAGTGCAAGGGCGAGCATGTGCAACTCGTGCACACGTATATATATTTACCGTACACGAGCCCGTACGGAAAACAAAAAGAAATGTTGGGGATGGAAAAAAAGCGGTGAAAAAAAAATCGCAGAAGAAGCAAAAGCACAGAGAGCGAGCGAGAATAATGTATGTGCGTGTGTGTGTGCGGGTGTGTAGGTGGCTCGGAAGCTGCGTGCGTGTAGGTGCATACGCGTGCCGAGTACTCGCGAGAAAGTGTGTATTCTTTGTGGGCTTGCGCGTCGCGCTGTAAGGGGTCGACGTACCCTTTCCTCCTTCCATTTTTCTCTCTCTCTCTCTCTCTCTCTCGCTCTCGCTTCGAGTGTTGTGTACACGCAGCGAGCTCGCGCTTGCTCGAGCTCTCGCCTTGCTTCGGCTTCGGCTCCGTGTGCGACCACCCTCTCTTTTTCTCGAACTGCGCGTGGAAGGAGCTCTCTCTCTCGCGCGAAAGCTAGCAAAAATATGAAAGAAATCGAAAATGCGATAAGAGCGTAGTAGCAGGCTGCGCCCCAAGTGCGAGCTTGCGGCTAGTGGCGTGAGCGCGTCTATATATATAATACACACACATATATATCGTATATAGAGGAGAGCTGCCTATAACATGTAGGAGCAGCGAGCGGCACTTTTTACTCTTGTCTCGCTCGCTCCGCACGTAATACCCTTAACCCCTTCCTCCCCTTTACTTCTCTCCCTTCCTTCCCCTCTATCACCCTCTCCTTTACTCCTGCGCCCCTCCTCGGATCCCTTTTGCTCTCCGTGCACTTTTTCTTTCCAACTATATACGCGCGCGTATACTATAGTATACATATTCGCGAGGCGAGGCGAGGCGAGGCAACGAGCGGGTGGCATGACAAGAAAGAGAAAGAGAGAGAGAACGATTTGAAGAATGGCGACGATTCAAGCCGCCTTACTACTCGTAGCTGCACACTACACTCCTCGTACTACTCGATTTCTCTTTCTCTCGCAGTCGCTTTTCTTGTTTTTACCCTCGCGCTCGGTCGCCCACGCCAAAAGGGAGAGAGAGAAAGAAACGATGCTCGAAAGGATGGATCGAGCTGTCGTCTTGTAAATGGCCAAGTGCGCCCGTCGTCCTCGGCGTCTACATGCGTACCTATACCAGTAGCGATTGACTAGAAAGAGAAAGAGAGAAAGTGCGTCGCTCAGTCAATGCTAAGCCAGCGCTAAATTACGCGCCCGACTCGGCGACATGCCCTCGATAAATTCGCCACTCTAGAAATATATCAATTATATGCTGATCGACGTGTGTGTCTCTAGGCTATAACGCGTATACGGGAGCCACAGCTGCAACTATCGTCGTATTATATTGCTCGCCGACGCTCCAAATAATTGCGCGTGCGGCGGCCGAGTGGCTGTCGTGACTTGACTTGATTCGTTCCCGCACTGACACATCCCCCCCGACGCGCGACGCTCTGACATAATGAAAAACAAGCCGAAATCTTCTCAGCCGCCACCACCCCCGCTTCTCGGCTCGCTATGACTGTGTGCCCCCCAGAGCCTAATTACGACTGTACGAGCTGTAGCCTGTAGTAGAGGCGTGTATATCTCCGCCCGCGCATCGTATATACCTGCCTGCAACTCGACGAGCTAAGCCGAGCAACGCATTTGTATTCCTCCGTCAAGAGTTTTATATGTGTACGCTTTATATATTTCATCGCTGACGCATAGATTGCGACTATGTCGTGTGCGTATACACAGAAGCACGTACAATTAGGCTTTCGTTGCATGGGGCTCGTCTCTCTCTCTCTCTCTCTCTCGTTGCCGCGCAGCGATCTTGATATGACGCGCCAGGCCAACGGCTGAATTATATAAGCGACCGACCGATAGACGAGACAAATTATAAATTATACGCGTATACGTACGTAAGTGCACGGGGCTGAATACCCGACGAGACTTTGAAAAGGGACAACACCGCGCGAGGGCTATCATTAGTTGAGCGTCGAATATGCATATAATATACTTCTTGCCAAATTCACTAAAAAATAGACTGATCAATCGAGCGTTCGATAACTCGATAATTGCGAGATAACTGCCACTAGAACGTGAATTTTCGTACATATACGTTTAATATTAAATTAGCACTTTGATTATAACGAATCCATGTATATGAGCGCATTTGTGATGTTGTATGAAAATAATAAAGAAGAAAAATAATAACGTTGCGAACAAATATGTTGTGAATAAGCTATAGCAATTACGCATTATGCATTCGATATTTTCGCACGTGGGCCGACTGCGTAAAAAATAAAAAAAAAAGAGGAGGAAAAGAAACATTTCCACAAAATAAATAATACAAATGAGCCCAGCTAATTGACGTACGGCATAAATTTATAGATATATAAAAATAAAAAAAAAACAAATATATATGTATAAAAGTAAATGAATGTAAATATTATATTATATATATTACAAAATATAAATATATTATATTATATTATGAAAAGTAAATGTGTCGAATTTTTTTTGACCGAAAGCTTGTATATTCTCTCCTCCCGCTCCGTCGCTCGTTGTCTCATTTTTCATTTTGCCGTGCGGCGTGCCATAGTCCTCTCTCTCTCTCTCTCTCTCTCGTGTGCACCCCCAATCCTCCCCGTGTACACGTACACAAGAGGCACCTCTATTCCTCCTTTGAGTATAGATATATACGTAAAACACATATATCCAGTGGCATTCGCGCATTATACCTATACGCCGGCGCTTGTAAGGGATATATAAGGTGCGCGCTCACACACACACATACACGCGCACGCAAGATATTCATCTAACGCTGCGCCCGCCCGAGAGCCCGCGCGTCTGTTTGTTCCTCTTTCTCGCTCGCTCGTCGCCTATATATAGCTATATACAGATACACGTATACACAGTGTAGCAAAGAAGAAGCCCCTCGTACGCTCCTTTACCCCCTTCGCCGCCACCGCTTGATCCTATTTCGCGCGCGCGCCTTCATATATGCCGCGCTCACTCTCTCTCTCTCTCTCTCTCTCTCTCTCTACTCTCGCAAAGCGTATATACGCCCTCGCAGCACCGAGTGTCCTCTCTGTCACGACTTTTCAGCTTATCCTGACGCGCTATTGTGAAACAGCCAATTACTCGAAAAACCTATACAACTCGGCTCGTATACTATACGCATGCTGCACACGCATACGCGCGTACACACATAGGGACATGCGCTCTATGTATATACCAGGCTTGGCCGCATACCTAATACACGCCCAAGCGAGCCCGACGAGCCGAAAAGCTGCAAGCTCCGTTGTTTGGCCACTTCTTTTTTATCCTCCGCAAGCTACTCTCTTCCATCATCGCGAGTTATACTACTCTTTTTATATGCGTTTTATCCCTTTTTTTTACCCTCTTTCCTTTCTTCCTTTTTTTCCTCCTTGCTCGTGCGTTGTTGATGTTGTTGTTGTTGTTATTATTATTACAGGCCTCGCTTGTTATTTGCGATTTTTCCCTCTTTTCCCCCTAGCGTTTAAAATACCTTGTTCCCAACGAGGCTGCAGGGCCCTCCACTTATTTTCGCAAAAGCGAATGAAGCTGCTCGTTTTCATTATTTTATCGCCTTTGCGTGCTGCTGATGCTGCTGCTGCTGCGCGCTCGCTACAGCGCGGCCCAGCCTACATAGATATGAAAAACTGTTGCATCAACCGACTCGTAATTTGATTTCTCTGTACGCGTAAAATTGAAAATTAACGTCTGTGCAATGTTCCCACTCTCTCTCCCTCTCTCTCTCTCTCTCTCTCTCTCTATCCCACTCTACGTGCATCCAACGTCGACGAAACAACATGCAAACGCTACGAAAAAAATTACAAAAGATAACTTTCACGTTTAATTTTTACATGCCTTCCGTTAATTGAATATCTCGCGCAGTTCATCGGTTAGTAAAAAATTCATACAATTTCTCTAAATTATTTTAATTGATCGAATGTTAAAATAAACACCATTAGAGACATACAATTTGTACACAATTCAAGAGCAGCTTATTTCGTAATGCCTAACTGCGTATCATTTTACAAAAAAAAACTCTGTAGATTATCATATGCCTGTACAAATACAACAGAAGCATAGAACTCTTAATGAAAACCCGTATAAATTATTACTTATAGTACTGATTAATTTTATAAATTAATCAAATTAAATATTAATATTTTTATAATTTTGAAAATATTAATCAAATTAACATTTTCACCAATTAAAAAATGATATAGGACACCTTGAGTATTAGGTAATTATAAATAGTTCTTTTGAAAACAAAGAACTACACAAAAGTTACTGTAATGACGGCTAAATTGGCAAGTATCAAATATTCAAGGCGACATCCTCACACTTGTTGGAAAAATTATGGGCTGACATTTTTTTGCAGAATCCTCTTTAATTAGTACCACTGACAATGGAAATGTATCTTGTCAGGCGGAAAAATGGTTAGTAGTTGTTTAAATCATATTATTTAAACAAATAGAGAAAAATGTAAATTTTAAAATGAAAAAATATTATCTAGATAATGAGGGTAATTTTATAAAGAAAATGTCTTTTGATCATTGAAACAATTAAAATAAAACTCGTCCAATAAATTATACTTGTTTCAAATACAAAAGATTATTCTGATAAAACATCCATGATTGAATAGACAGGAATTATAATACTAGCAACTTTGTGTCATCTAATTTGAGCTCTATGAATAATACAAATTCAATAATTCTCAATTCAATTTAAATCAAAAGAATTAACTAAATGTTAAATATAAAAATTTTTTCCAGTTATAAGCATGATTTTTTATTTAAAAGTTTTTTGAGCTATCTTAAACTTGATTACATCTCGAAATCAATGTTAACTTAAAAATATATCAATGAAAATTTTGTTTCTTTTCGGGCATCCAAGTATAAACATTTTAGTTTTTTGTTTTTTTGTTTAAAAGCTAATTTAAGAAATTATCGGAAAAAGTTTACATCATTTTCAAATTAATTCAATCATACCTTTGAATTTGATAAGTTTTAGAAAGTCTTAATAGTTTTACCCTGCAAATTTCGGTATATACAAATATCTACATGCAATCAGTCATAAAAGTTTTTACAATTGTCTACAAATAAAAAAATCAAAAGGATTATTTACAACTTATAGTTGGTTACAAATATATTTATCTTTTATCATGAGAACTTTTAGAGTGTTTGCTTGTAGCACTGCTCCTACTTCTTTTGTCCATTTTGGCTTTTTTAATCATATCTTTCAATCTTTTATCAGCGCTAACAACATGGATGTTTGGTACTTTAACACTAGAGCTATTACCATTTGAATTTTGAGACTGATTTGAAGTGCTCTTATATTTATCCACATACTTTGAACCTGTAAAGAATGTGGGAAATAAAATTATTATTAATTGAAATTTTACTCATAATTAGTAATTTTAATTGTAGTATTAGTATTATATTAATGAAACTTACTAGAAGTTAACTTTTTGTCCTTACTTTTGCTTTCTGAAGACTTTGGTGATACTTTTTCTTTGAGTACCTAAAAAAAATATATTAACTTTTTACATGATCCTACATAAAAATATATACTAATAAATAAAGTCATACCGGTGTAGGTTTTACGCAATTATAACAATACCACTCGACTGGATGAGTATCAACTTGAAGATCTGTGATAGCTGGAGTATGGCATTCTTGATGATATAGTGAACCACATTTTACACACTCAACTAAACGGTTTTTGGCTCCAACATCCATTCCTTTACAAACAACACAAGCAACATCCTCTAAAATGTCTGCCAAGTTATCATCTGTTGCTAACGGATCAGGTGTCAGTTCTCTTATTACAGCCACAGGAGAATCACTTTTATTAGATTTTGAGTGTTTTGAAGAACTAGAACTCCTACTTTTTTTACTACTTGTACTACTTTGGTCACTCAACACTTGTTCGTCTGTAACATACTATAAAATAAACCCAAAATTTTACATCTAAATTTTTTTATAGTGAATTGTTATGAAAAAATGGTACCTTTTTGTGTAAAACATTAATCAACATTTTGGATTGTCCATATCTGTGCTTAATTGATTCATCTAATAAAATACGAAGATGTTCGGATGAATCTTTAGTTGTAGAATGTAGAAACCGAATTGCTTGAGAATATTGTGGGTCCATTTCAAATGTAGTCATGTTTATTGTCTGTTTGATTTTGAATAATAAAATTAATTCGACACTATTGTTAACAATTTAATTAGGAAAAATTTTAAATATTAATAACTAAGCAGAAAAAAGTTTAATGTAGCAAGCTTTCAATTTGAAAAATAAAATTGACAATACCTTATTTGAAAGATTAGTTGATGTAGAAATTGTGATTTTATTTTTTTACAATTTGTTTAAACGATAATACTTTTCTGCTGCATCGGGTTGTATAGGTTATTGCATATTAGGCGTATACAATTCGAAGCGAATAGTATACTGCACTATGCAAACTGTTTCAGCGTACACGTAAAAGAAGCGCTAGAGCAGTCCAAGGGATACAACACGCAGCGGCGAATGCCGATTGCAGACTAGTGACTGTTCGCTTCGTTTGGCGAAAATGAGACATGGTGAGCGTCAGAAATGCTGAAGACCAGTCAGTAACTCGTATAGTAGACTCCGACATTTACCAACAATAATTGCTGCATAAAAGAATTATCAGTAAATAATATCACTCGAATTCGATTAGTAATATGTTGTGAAATTTTGCTGTTGGTATACAAATCATTCCTCAATTTTTATCAGACTTTGAGAATTTTCCAGGAATTTAATTGTTGAGCATCATCTATAGCAGTTACATAATGAAAAACATTAAAAATATTTAATTTCTCTATTTTCTTCTTGCACTGCAATAAAACAATAATAGAAAGATTTAAGTCGCATAATAATGTTATATGATTTTAAATTATTCGCATTATAGTTAAAGGAAATGCGGTAGAATTTTTCCACATTTGTTGATACCACATGCATCTGGCCTTTGTATCCTTTTAATTCCTTTATAAATATCTAAGTAAATTTCTTGCTCAAAATTATATTTCCTTTCGAAGGAAATCCATTTTAATGCCAATTATGGCAGTACCAAAAATTACAAAATTATACGTTCATAATTATATGATCAATGATAAATTGACATCCTATACATCACAATTCAAAATAATTTATGAAAGACGCGTCGAGCAAAAATGTAGAAAAATTTCATTTTTAAGAGAAATCACTCGCGTATGTAAATATTTACACAGGTCAAAATGTGAATCCAGCGTAAAGGGGGTCGCCTCTGTAAGCAGCAATCATGATAATAGTAAATAGGCTAGCATAGGCAGAGCCCCGACTACGCTTTGTTAATATTTAGAGCTGTCTCAGAATTAAACGCCTTATGTGTGTGTATGCGTGTGTGTTACCCACATTACATATATGATATATGTATATAATAAAGTAAACCAATTAAAAGCCAAGAAAAGTTTAGGTTACCATTATCGTCCTGTTATTTTTACGAGGAATGCATCGTTTAACAAATAGATACAATTACGGTGTGTACGTAATAAAATTCTTCGTATCTTGAAGTATATATACGAATACAATCGATGACAGTTGCGCATTGGATAACCAAAACAAACCCCATCGCGGAGCTTGATTCAGCTGAAATGATCGTCGTAAAGGTGAAGCTAAACCAGCCTATCGTGCATATGTTGTTTACATTTTACACAGTTATATTAGTATAAACCAACAGTAATAACAAAATAACTAGTGTAAAAACATTTTGTAACTGTAAATTGTGTTAATTTTAACTTGTTTACGATTTCAAATCTATAAAGTGCGGATAGTCTAGTTTTTCAATAAATAATTCATGTAAGTTTAAGCCAACTTCCGAAATACTAATAGAATCAAATGAAATACACTAGTCTATCTCTTGAGTAATAAAACAAAGTACTTGTATTCAATACTGTTTGGGTGCAATTAAAAGGTAAAAGCTATCAAGATGTTGGACGAAACTGTAAGTAACAAGTTCTATAACTTATCAAACCAAATTTTAGAATGTGTAATATAATAACTTTCATTATTATTTTTAGTGGTGGGAAGAATTAAAAAGAATTATAAGAGAAGGCAATGATGAGCACACATGGTCAACAATAATGGAAGTTTCTGTTAAAGATGCTAGAGATCTTCATGGAAACAATCTGCTTCATTATGTTACAGTATGTGATAATGAAAACATTACAAAAAAACTCTTGGAAGCTGGTTGTGATGTTAATGTAATTAATCGCTATGGAGAAACTCCCCTCACAACAGCAATTGAATTTAATAATCTAAAAGTAGCTAAAGTACTACTTGATGCTGGAGCCATTCACTTAAATACTGATTTTGATGAAGAATTTGGCCCTCTTCATATGGCTGTATGGTATGGTTATTACGATATGGTAAAAATCATAATCGAAGCAGGAGCCGATGTAAATGTAGTAGATGAAGAACTATCTAGTCCATTGCATTTAGCAGCTAAAGTTGAAGAATATGCATGTAAGTAGAATATTATATATTTATTAAATTGTGATCCTTTGAAAAAATTTATTTTCTATAAATTTATTTTCAGATGAGATTACAAAACTCTTATTAGATGCAGGGTCAAATGTCAATGTTGTAGATCACCAAGCAATAACACCTTTACATTGGGCAGTATCGCAAGGAAATTATGATGTCGCAACTTTACTCCTAAATTCAGGAGCAAATGTTGATGTTATAGATTTAAATTTCATGACACCTTTACATTGGTGCGTACGAGAAAATAATTTGGAATTCAGTCACAAAATGATTGAAGCAGGATGTGATATTGATATGGTTGATAGCAATGGTTCAACCTGTCTTCACTATGCTGTAAAAGCTAATAACATAGAAATGATTAAGTTATTATTGAGCTATGGGGCTACACCAAATTGTACCGATGACCAAGGTCACAGTCCTTTGCATTGGGCAATACGAGAAAATAGACTAGAGCAAGTGAAAATGCTTATTGCAGCAGGAGCAGATGTTAACATTATGGATGATGAAGATGATGAAGGTCTAACAGCTTTACAGGTAAAATTAAGTTTTCAAATTTTTCAAATTATATGAAATGATTTTTAATAATAAATTTTGGGTGTTAACAGATTGCCGCTGAATTAGGACTTAAAGAAATCATGACCATTCTTCTGGATCATGGTGCAGATGTTAAAGCTAAATGTAATAGGGGCTACAGTGTATTATACTATGCAGCTATGTCAAAACGTATTGGAACAGAAGTAGATGATGATTTATATGTAGACATTTTGGAAACTCTTTTATCACGTGGTGCCAGTGTTGGAGATAATGATTATGACATAAAAACACCCTTCAACAGTGTATTACTTTATGGAAATGAACGAGCTGTAAAGCTATTTTTACAACATGGTGTCGATTTAACTAAGTGCATTCTTGGTGCCAGCAAAATATCATCTTTACATCATGCTGCTCTCAATAATGATAAAAGTGTACTGAAGTTTCTTATAGACAGTGGGCATTTTAATGTTGAAGAAAAATGTGGTACCGGTCTCACTGCATTGCATCTTTCATCACTTTCGAATCGCTTGAACTGTATTAAATTTTTGTTGAAACGCGGTGCAGATATTAATAGCAGTAATATGTATGGAGAAACTCCACTGTATTCTGCTGTTATAAATGGCAGAAGAGAAGCAGTAAGGTTGCTACTGCAATACAAGGCAAATATTAATGCTGTAACTACAAGAAAAGAGTCTATTTTAGAAGCAGCACTTGAAGTTGATAGACAAGATATTACCCACTATTGCATTAGGCACATGGCTATGCTTGAAGCACAAAATGAAGATTTGCTCCAAGCTGATTTTGATCGCATTTATATGGATGATTATTTGCAAGATTATTATGAATTATGTTTATGCGAATTGACTATCATGAAAGAAATTCCTATTGTAGGACACATTAAATTCTTTCATATACTCACAGCACCGAACATTGATTTTTGTGCCAGAAATGAAAAAGTTGTTGAAACCTTTAAATCATTAGAGACTCTTGCTGAAAGTTTCCCAATTTATCATGACTTACTTATAGAGCGTTTTAATAAAGAGTTAAAAAGACAAGAACTCATTAGGAAAGCAACAGTTGGTCTTAGTAAGATACTCAAGTATGATGCTGATACATTTTATTTAATTTTTTACAATATTCTTTGCCGTCTACACAAAAAAGATTTGCAAAGTTTGATTAATGTTTAACAATATTCAGTTGTAAAATTTTATATTATGTACATTAATGTGTAAAATTATTAAATTAATCAATTTTTATAGTTTTAGGTCACAATCCTAAAAATTTTAATACAAATCTAAAAATTGTATAGAATATTGAATGTGTATACTTTGTTGATGTTAATTTTGTACATATACATATAATGTGATCCTTGGATTTGACAAGTTTATGTTAAATATATATTGTATCCAAAAAAAAGAATACTTATTTCAGCAATTAATAATAATACATTTACTTTTTTGAAAGTTAATTTAAATATTGAGCGTCAATTTTTTTAACATAAATAAAATAATCATTACTGTAAAGAATTTACAATAGTTGCAGAAAAGTAAAACTTGGACCCTATCATGAATGAATTTTTTTTTCAATCGTTAGGAAATGTTGTACATTATGTTTACCTCACACAATTCACAATAGTTATTTACATATTTACAAATTCATTTTGAATGAACTACTGCACAATGTTATTTTCACATTTTTATAAAAGAATTGACACTGTAAAACAATCATTATTATAACCTATGTTTGCTTATTGAAGCAGTAAAAAAATTACCTTATGCTAAGATTTGAGTCTTTGATACGTCAAAATTATTATTAAACTTCCATACGCTTGCGTTTTCTTAAATTTTCAACAACGTCCGATGTTTTAATGTGTTTAACACCTTTATTGAGCCAATTTATCAAAAGCATCTTTCCTTGATTACCTTGCTTCAAAAGTTGCTTCTCGAGCGCTGTCAATTGGACCTGGATCGAAGGAGCACCAAATACACTCTGTTCGCAATCCATAATCAACCGAAATCTTGATTTGAATACTTCAAGAAGTAGTTCTGGTATTTGTTGATTGTCATCCTTAACGATGGGCGGCAAAATCAAGCCCAACTCGTAAAAGTATTGATTCCACTTGTTGAGTTCAACTGCACAAGCGTCGGCGTGCAGGATCTCCTTGTAAGAATCCTTGTAGAACCTGGGCAGTTCGCAGCTGACGATAGATTTACGTTTAGCGCTCAAAGAGCTCGCCAACCAAACTGGTATGTCGAGTTTTGAGCCCGGCTCCAGGTGCTCCTTCTTCGAGGACGAGCACAAGAAGCCTAGATTCGGCATGGGCTGTCTCACCTCCGAAGCCACGCGCTCCTCCGTCACTAAAATATCCTTAATCGAAAAATACTGATTGGGTTGAATCAAAGACATTTTAAACTTTTATGACCGACAATACTATTTGACATTACACTGTCACAGACAAATACAAATTATGCAGTCAGTACATCCAGGAGAATCGACTGATCTCATCACACGGACTAGAAACTATATGGATTACGGTTACCGAGTCTATACTATATATATTAATTTTACGAACGACACATAAGCTTTTGTAGTGTATAGGCACCGCACAGTACTTTCACAGACAGAGTTTACACTGCTCAGTCGTTGCTTTGCCGGCTACTGCTGGCCGTATAGTGTGTTTTGGCGCGTTCGTTTCTCCCTCCAGTGCCACGCGCCAGCCGACAGTACGAGTCGAAATCGAAAATTTCTTTTTTTACCATCTTGTCGTTCGGTCTTGCATCCTCCCGGACTGCGCGTTAATTCGAGTTTCGAATTTCGATGTGGATGCAGAGACCCGTTTAGGTATACTTAGATCAGCTAAGCGAGAGCCTTGCCATGCGGAGGCGAACGAACTAAATGCTTTGTCGCACACGCAGCGTAACGCGAATACGCAACGGACGAAAAAAAAAAATTAAACTCCGTCCGCTTAGAACGTGCTATCTATGTATAACGTTTAAGAATGGCACGTAAACAGCTGCAATGATCCAATGTATTGATAAAAAGCCGCTGATAAAGAATTTTTAGTAATAGTTATTATCTCGACGTTTATCACACCGCGGCCGCGGTGCCAATTACCTACAGAACCATTCAGTTGTTCTTTTATTCTCAGCCAGACCGCTACCGCTAGCGTAATTCAATTCTTACTGTATACATTTCACGTTTGTTTAAAGTAAAAATGCTTGGTGCATGATGAATTTACTCTCTTTGAAATTCACGCTTTTCACGCAATCTCGTTTTACTCGATGATGGTGAAAAAACGCTGGCTATGTTTAGCCGTTTTGCTCTTTATTTTTGTATACATTTTCTTCTACAGCTACAGAAGCACCCGACAACGGCGAATTCACAATGTTGACGTTCTATGTTATTATCGACGTCCCTTACGAAATTCTAGTTTTCCCAATTTCGACGAGTTAAAAGGTACAATTTAAAATATTATTTAATCATCCTCCGCAGTCACCGTCAGCGCTTTTGTCGAGATTAAAATTTTTTTCTTTCTATCGTGGCATATTCACGCGCGTACATGCGATCCCGCTCGTGTAAACCGATCCATTACTGATTGAATTATATTCTCTCGAGCAACGATGCATTGTCATATCCATGGATGCAGTTCATAATACTATACCAAATTATCTTAATATGACTAAAGGAGCTTAAAATGTTGAATCGTCACGTCGAATTCGTTGACTCATCAGTTATTCATTTCTTTCGTCTTCTTTGACTCAATCAGCGAAACTGCATTACACTATTATTTACTCTATACTTGCAGAAAAAGAACGACTCTCGACTAAACGCAACATATTTTTTTTGGAGACATCCTGCAGCTACAAGCGCGATGACGAATTTCACTTGAGTTGCCGTCAAGCTTGCGCCGTTGAATCGGCTGCTCGAATGAACCCCAAAGACTGGGTCCACCTTCTGTTCTTCAGCTCGTCGGTTCCTTCTCTAGGAACAAATGAATTGTTTACGGTGCTGCAGTCCAATTATTCTAATGTCAATATAAAACGGGCTCACTTGACGGATTACATCAAAGGGACTCCCGTTGAGAGGTGGCTAACTCCGAAACTCTTGCTAAGCAGCAATTGGCCTCTCATTCATTTGTCCGATATCCTGAGACTTCTTACGCTCTGGAAATTCGGTGGCATATACCTAGATCTCGATATAGTTGTCACAAAGTAAATGAATTCCTACTTTTTTTCTAACTAAAAATGATTATATTTTGATTTTTACGTCGATGCTGCTTTTCAGATCTTTGGACAATTTTAAAAATTTTGTTGGAGCGCAGGATGATCAAAGGATCGCAAACGGTGTAATGGGGTTCGATAAGGATCGGCTTGGCCATAGATTAGTCGAGGAGTGCTTGACAGAGCTAATGAAAGACTTTCGCGGTGATCTTTGGACTCACAATGGGCCCGACATCGTTACCAAGGTCATACAGAAACAATGCAATCTTGAATCAGTAAGTGACACATTCGCAAATTTCAGCAATTTCAAGTCTCTCGATGCACATGCAACACTAAAATAAATTATTTTCCGAATAAACATTCGATTAGTTGTTCGAAACTTTTCAACTTTTCAGGTTGCACGTATGATAAATTCTCCAAGCTGCAAAGGGTTTCAAGTGTTTCATCCATCTGTCTTTTATCCCATTCCTTATCAAGAGTGGAAACGTTATTTCCATGACGATTTAGATGGCCAAATCTTAGATCTTATCGGAAAATCAAAAATTATACATGTTTGGAATAAACTTAGCAAGTGGGAACCTGTAACTGACAAAAGTCCTTACTCTGCAGTAGCCAAACAATTCTGTCCACACGTGTTTGAAAAATGTAAATCAAGGTTTTAATTTAGATATATTTTAATTTTTTATCATTAGGTTTACTTTGTTATTGTATAAATAAAATCTACATTCCTATTTTTTACATTATTAAGCTGTCGTTTTATTTTCAAATCTTCTTTAATGTACTTGGTACATTGAGATAAAATGATACAGATAATCTATGGATCGTTATTACTAAAATTACTAATATCGAAGTACCCATGATAAATGACATTAATCATGATTTTTCAATTTTTTGTAAAATCATTTGATATAAAAATTATTTATGATGAAGTTTTTAATATGAGCGTTTGTTGAAGAATTTATAACGCCGTAATTTTTTTATAAAAATGCGAAATGAATTTTTTAATAATGAAACTAAAAATTAAGGAAAATTTTCAAGGGGTTAAAAGTAATTGTCAAATGGTAAAGTCAAAAACTGACCATCATTAATGTTATTATTATTATTATAATTATTATTGCTATTGTAAATTACGACTATCGAAACTTCAGAAATTAGAAGCCAAGATAATTATGCACAGGCCCGATCTAGAATTTTCGATAGTTCCTTTTCTATACGTTAGTAATACGATGAGAGCTCTGTTCTGCCTCCATGTGCCGTACAAAAAGCAAGTAGGTTTATTGTCTGGCCCTTTAAAAAGTGAACTTATTTCCGTGGATCACGAGATAAGATAATTAATATTAAGTGGAGACGACAGTAATCTGCTCACTCTTCATAAGTTGAATTAAATCGTGATAAGATCATTAAGTTGTTCATTAATTGTTCAACGAGTTATTACAGATGAAGTAAAATGAAGTAAAAATTCATTAGTGCACGCATAAGAAATTTTATTGCATCGCGCACGAACAAAGAGCCAAAGGGAACGAATGCTGTGAAATTATGGAAAAATGTCCTAGCCTAGGGAAGTATACGTGAAAATACGTTCATGTGTTTCCAAAAAATCGTAGTTCCACTTCATTTTCTTTTAACCTCGAGTTAACTTGAAACATCGAACGAACCGTTAATGAACAATCGTCGCTTTGCCTGCGTATACTCATGTCGCCGAGTCGCCACTAACTCGGCTCACTCGAGACACTCGAGCGTTCGCTTCGCAGACCAGATAGAGTATATAAGTCAGTTAGCTCTGTGCTTGCTCACAGTCTCGACTCTCGATAACGTGGGTATGGGCAAGAGCTAGAATTTCATTTCACTTCGTCTCGATAGAGCGTGTTGTCGTTTCTATCAGTAATGCTAAACTTATTGAACAATTGACTGTTAAATATCAAGTGAGCTTGTTATCATATCAGTTTTTAAAAAAAATAGTTTAATTTCTTTGCATAAATAGTGTCAAATTGTGCCATTTATTCACAGTGTAGCAACCGGGGGCATTAAAAGAACTAACCTACAAAAAGTTAAAGTGCGGCTTGAAAATATCTACAATGGATGCAATGGTCAATCAGAATGGATTAAATGGTCTGCGAAATGGATTGAATCATAACGATAATCACAGTGATGGTTTAGTGGAAAATGGTGCCCAAGGGATGAACGAAATGTACCATGGCTACATGTCACCCTCAGCAGTAGATGATAGTCCAGAATTAGACATCATCATTAGCAATGTCGTTTGTAGTTTTAGTGTTAAATGCCATTTAAATTTACGAGAAATTGCCCTCAATGGTTCTAATGTTGAATACCGAAGAGAAAATGGTTTAGTGAGAATGAAGTTTCGAAAACCCAAATGTACAGCTTCAATTCCATCTTCAGGTAAAATTACATGTACAGGAGCCAGTAGTGAATTAGAAGCAAAAATAGCTGCACGAAGATGTGCAAGAGCCCTACAGAAATTAGGATTCAACTGTAAAATTACAAATTATAGGATAGTTAACGTGTTGGGTGTATGTACAATGCCATGGAATGTAAGAATCGAATCTTTTTCTGCGCAACATAAAGACATTATCCAATATGAGCCGGAATTAGCCCCAGGAGCTGTGTATAAATTAAAAGACATAAGAGCAACGGCAAGGATATTTGCTACAGGTAAAGTTACGATTACAGCCCGTAGTATTGGTGCAGTACAAGCTGCCATCGAACACGTCTATCCATTATTATTTGAATTTCGCAAAGAGAGGTCGTCTGAAGAACAGTTGGATATAGACAGAAAAAAACTTAAAGATGTACAGTCTTACATGTCAGAAGATGAAGAAGATAGTTTACTTAGTGATATAAATTAGTCATTGCTCAAATAATATTATGATAGATATTTTGTGTACCCTAACAAATGTGTCAGATGAATTGCTACACTAGAGTTCCACCTACAGAAAACTAACCTTTAGTTTTTATGATACAAACAGTGTAGATGATAACCCTGTTTCTATATGGACTCATTACAGCTATAAATCAAATTCAAGATGAAAAAATATTGACATGAATTGATTTAAATTTTACTAGGATCAAAAGACAACATTTTTGATTTTTAGTGAAATACTTTTGACAACACATCATAGTTTGGGAATTAATCAACTATACGATAACCAGTGGTGGTACTTTAAATGATCAAACAATTTAAAGTTTTTGGATCAGGAGCGATTGAACAAATTATCTTATATCAAAATTTATAAATTAATACCTTTGGAATACAATTAAAGTCTTGTTAACACATTGTAAAAATGATTATCAATACCTACTATTGATAAAAAGTATTCTAGGTTTTTAAAAATAATTTAATTAATAATTGTGAAAAGTAGTAAAAAGTGAAATCTTAAAGGCATTGTAATTAACGCTCATAAAATTATAAATTTAATTTATTATAATTATCATGAATGCATATTTGAGGATATTACACAATATCAAAAGTGATTTTGATAATTTTTCAGTATATATTCAAAAGTATACAAACTTTGAAAACTAACTCAATAAGATATACCATTTGGATATAGTCATGATAAATGTTTTTTTTATAACAGTTAATAAGATTCTGTGACAACATTTGCTTTGGGCAAAGGCAAACTAGAAAATTATACTAGAAATAATTGGTTGAATATAGACAACGCAAATTGAGCTCAAATTTGATCAAACAATTTTGCCAAATGACTGAGCCGTCAATGAGTGCAGATTAGATTATATTTTCCTTTGCAGTCTTTGAAACAAGAAGATACTGCCATACCAAAGAGAATCAGCACTCCGAAGAAAGACTTTAACCGTCAGGAATATTAAAAATATGCAATGGCTTCAAATACATTATTGTTGATCAAAAAAAAAATTTTGGAGCTTTCTTATTGACAATATAAGTCTTTTTTAAGATAAAAGATAGAATTATTATATATTTATTTTGATATTTTTTAAGATTGTGCGTGTATAATTAATTTTGTAACTTATGCAAATTATTGGATTGTTTTCATTTTTCTTTAACTATTATTTTTTGAATTAGAATTATCAAAAGCCTAATTTTAAATTTACTTTCTTTTTATTAAGAAAATTATTGGTTTAGTTCAAAAATATTTTTCAAAATAAGTTAAATGTACATTAGAATTCAAGAATTTACTTATAAAATAAGTGCATAAAGTGACATTTCCAGTATGTGCAGTTTTTCACTCTCATATGTAAACAACTACATTATAGGAGTACATCAAATCCTATTTTTTCAAAAGTGATTAAAAAGACAGGTGTTCACTAGCTTTGTGTGTAAGGAGTGCAAGTTTAAAACACTCATGTTAAACATTTTTTTATATGTTATGTAAATACACTATGAATGTGTTTTTAATGGTTTTTGTCAAATATTTTAAAAAATTGATTTGTAAATAATAAAAAAGTAATTGTTTGCAGTAACATAAACCTTGGTATTATTCATTTATCTATTATGAATTGAACAGATTATTCAATTGGAACGGATAAGACACAACTTACCATAAAAATTTAATTTATATTTTTTGTACCTTTCAAATTAAAAATATTTTTTCACTATAAACTATATACTTCAGTAATCATAGGGTAAATATACAATTGTAATGTTAGAGATGTCCGAAACAGCTGCAATGCAGGCTGCATTTTATCTTGAGGTATTTTGGGACTAGACACAAGGGGAGCACATTTTATACAAGGTTCTCTACTTGACAGATGTATGATTTTATTCTTTTTTTATTGAATAACACAATAAATATCTTGAATATTGGGTAAAATATTGGTTTCTGCCACAATGTTTGACAGCCATCTTTTCAAAAATCTAAATAAAAAAATATTTTTACATCACTATACAAGGCAACATAGATAAGGTAGATGAAAAAAAAATGTATTACAATTTAATAGTTTTTATTTTTAGAAAAATAACCATTTGATAGAAAAAATTAATTTAAAATTTGAAATGTATCAAAAAACTTGAAAATGAAATTGCTTATTTCTTTTCCATTATTTACTGAAAGTCGGTGTTATTAGCAAATTTTGTAATGAAAATTGAAAGATAAATATTTACGTAAGTTTAAAATATAATAAAAAGTCATTTACTATTAACACAATGGCAAGTCAACGAAAGACACATTTTCGGTTAAGAATTAGAAATTCATCTCAGATTAATTCATTAGTTAATCTGAATTATTAATCTAAATCGAAAAATAATCATCACAATTATACTTATTACATAATTAACAATACATTAAATATTCTTTTCAAGTTTACAACAATATCTTATTGCATACATCGGTGTTTCTATTTAAAATGTATTTCTACCAACCTGTAACAATCATACTATACAAATTCATATGGTACATCGTCTTTTGACATATCATTATAGTAATACCTAAAATATATACAGATCTATATTCTATGAAAACATAAAAATATCTTTACTTGGTATTTTCATTTAAATGGTACGCAACTTTGATTTACGAGAAAGTTATTTTCAGTTTCAGTCATCTAAGGCTCTTGAGAGAAATGCAATAGCCTAAAAAAGATGGCCAATATGTGTTCATTACAATAAAAAATTTACATTAATCGACGATTTTTAAAATTTACACTTTAAGTCAACAATATTTTCTGATTCCTTTTGTACTTGAAATATTAAATTATGTATATGCTACCAATATGCAAAGAATCTTACATTCTAATTATTAAATTTTAGTGTCTTTGTTTCATTCAATTTGAACGTTATGATTTGCGATAAGGAACGAAACTCAGTAATAGATGAGGATCATTAAAGGTTTGCATGAACTTCAAAATAATGGGTACGATCCTGCAAACTTATTTCCCACATAGAAACCTTCTTTAACGCGGAGTGGACGGTACTGGATTTAGTTGATTGGACATGTAGCAGCAATAGCAGGGAGCTTCTAACTCAGCTGTTCTGTAAAATTGAAAAATGTTCATGAAATAAACCCTACTCAATTTTTTTAATATGCAATTAAAACTTTACCTCAAACGAAACTGAGGTAATTGAAATAGTGTTCTATTGTTGGGCGAATTGCTGCTTTGACTGCTAGTGCTTGTACTATCCCACTCGTGAATCCATCGCTAGAGTTGTGAGCTTCCAGTACTAATACTTGAAGGAGTTTGACTTACCGTAGTAGCCTTTTCGACCCGTCTGTCTGCGGTCTCTCTAAAAATTTTATAAATATTACGTCGTGGATCGGCTCAAGCGGAAAAAGTACGGAATGATGAATGATTGTTTTAACATACTCTTTTCGATCGAAGGAAGGTGATGAACTGCTTTCCTCCGAAAAGTTACGCACCTTAAATCCAGTATAACTTGTTCTCGATGAATTCGATGTGCTTACACTTGAACGCTTTTGCAAATCAGATGACATTTCGCTCGTGCTTTCAGAATTATCTTCAATTATCAAACACGTTTCTACCATTGCTTCCAAACAGTTTACAAATAATTCTGCATTCTCGGCTGTACGGTTACACTACAATGATGAATTTTAGATTAACTTATATTGAAAAAAAGATTTTTTGCGAAAATTGATATGGAATTACTTTTGAAAATGGTCCAGCGAATCGCCATAATCCCCCGAAACCACAACTTTGCAAATTATGGAGTTGTTGCTGATTTGTATCTTCGCAAGCAATCATATTTTCTATGATAGCTTGTACCGATCCGAGAATTTCTCGATCGTGACAGCTGGCAAGAACTGTATTTATCTTTCCGTCGAGCAACGTGTGACTGCAAATTATTATTTATTTTAATAGTATACATAGTTTTTGTTACTAATTTACCAAATTTTTGTAAGTGGAAAGTATAAATTACTTACATAACGGAAAAAACTTTGGGAAAAACAATCGAAGCTTCAGCAAGATATTCATAGAGAATTCTCGTCTCACTGTCGTCAGTTGAGTATTTCACTAAGGTTGCCAACACAGTCATAACTAATTTTTGAGTAGCAAAATCCGTGAGAATATCAGGATCGAATAAAACGTTGTTTTCGTTGCTCACGCTGACTCGAGTACTTCGATTCTAGAAAATTCAAATGAATCTCAAAATCATTGAAGCTTAATTTGACTGTAAATTGTTACAATAAAATAAATGCACCGATAGTAACATAAAAATGGAGATCATTTTTTTTATCAAGAGAAAATTGAACATTTGATTGAAAAACATTTTTTTAATAACGCTATTTATTAATAGTACTTACTGGTTTTTGTTCGGAATCATCATTATTTTTCATTTCCTTTGACGACGGCACAGACAGTGAGCGCTGCATTTTAAATAAAATCCGTCCAGCCTTGTTAGTGATTTAATTTTTGTTTTTGATTTGATCATAAGTATATTTTCATGATCAAAATGGTGACATTTGTATCATATGATGGTATAGCAATCCAGGCAGATATAAATGGAAGAAATAGACATCGATTTCATGGATAACACATAAAAATGAAAAAATCATTCAATTTATAAACTTAAGAATATAATAATTAATATATAATTTGCAAGAATAATTTAACAAACATATTAAAATTTGACTTTGATGAACTGGACATTTAATTTATTTATGAATGAATTCATTTGTCATAAATTTAATTAAATAAATACACGACTTTCAAAAAAATAAATTCATAAATGAAACTAAGAGTTAATTGATTAATTTTACTTTACACAAATTAAAATATTTTTCAAAGGGTGAAATTTTAAGTTCACGTTTCAAATCTTACCTGGTGGTGTGGATATTGATGCTTTTGTTGTCGAGCCTGAGTTATAGCTGCTTGATCTAAAATATCCCACGACTTTTGTCTGATATTTGCCGGCATTCTTGTGTTACCAGCAATGATCTAAAGTAAAAAATAGTTCTGATTAATTTCATTAGAAAATAGAATAAGAGAATTTCTTTGTGGAAAGAATTCTTACACCAGGTGTATCTGGATTTTCCATGAAGTCAGTACTTCCAGATTCGCCTAAACTACGATTAAGAGATCTTCTTGTGTGACATCTACTTCTTACTTCGTCCGAGACTGCAACTAATGCTGTAAATAATAATTGTTTTTAAGTATTAAACTAAGATAAAATCATTCACAAAGTAATAAAATTAATCGTACCAGCCAAGTAAGCCACGCTATCAGGTGTGACTTCAAATTTATCCCTTCTTAATGGTTTAGCAATAATGCTAAGAAGCATAGTCAAAACGCGAGTGGTTCTTGTGACAGTCGTTGGTATGGGATGGCGAAATCCTTTGAGTAGATGACCAACCAAAGCAAAATGAAAATTAGATTTGAATGAAAGCCCGACTGCATTGTCCAATTGTTTAAAATGCCATTCGAGGGGTTCACGCGTCGACATCATTACTCGTTCAAAAGAATTGTTGTCAAATATACCCTGCGAATCTAACATATGCAAATTCTGTTCTAATAATGCAAGCCCACATGCATATAAAGCAGCATCATCTAATTGAAGAACTGAAGTGGCCACCCAAAATATATAACGGTGAATCGAGGAATCCTAAAAGGTTGAAGTAAAAATTGCGTAAAAATAAAAAAAAATTTTTTTCAAAAATTTCAAGTTTTTTCATTTTATTTACTTTTTATAGTTATTAATAATACTCACGGGACGAAGAAGTGGTTGTAGCCGCGTTAAGCACATGATAATAGCTTCTAGTAGCGTTATATCATTGAAATCTTCAAGAGCTTTTACTAAAATTTTTAAGAGTTGTTTGATATCTTTATCAGTAGCTGTTTTACTAATGCAACCAAAAACAATAAGAGCACGAGGCTGTAAAGCTGGATTATAGTGAAATGCAAAACCCCTGGCTAGACTTGTCCATGTCTTTAACCACTCACATCGAGGTATGTCTCGCATGCAAGCTTCCATTATTTCTAAAAGTGCATCAGTGATAACTTCTAAATTAGTCAACGAAAGTCTTTCTCTGTCAGAGTGATTACGTTCATTTACAAACCACTTATCGTTTGTATGTCGATAACTTGATCTAAAATTAATGCACATGAAATATTGAGAGTTAAAAGAGTGATTAAGTCAAAATTTTGTTTGAAAATAAAATCACATGGGATATCAACCTGAATGCAGTGACAGCAGCTGATTTTACTTTGCTAATGCCAAAAAGCAAGTAGAATTTAGGAAGAGAAAATTCGTCGAGACTCATTCGCAAAACTTTATATGTTTCCTCGGAGAACGATGGTGCATTGCAGGTACACAGTGAATGGATAATATTGATGACGAGACCATGAGTTGAGGCTCGCATACTCAAACTGCCCGAACAGACAAGAAATGTGACAATGTGAAAAAGGTACGGTAGGTGTTTGCCCACATCCAAACAGTTATTGAAGGAAAGCATAAGTAAGTAACGCGCAAGTATGGCTATGTCATCCCATAAATTATGCTGCTCAAGTAAATTTGTAGGTGAAATGCACGTTCTATCTATGACTCTGTGTAATCGAGAGATAACTTTTTTTCCAACTAATTGGACATTGCCCGACGCCAACGCTACCGCTGTATCAGCCATAATTTCAACCATAGGAGAACCAAGTCCTGAACATTCACTACGTTTAATAAAATTGTCAAGTACTGTATCAATAAGTTCAGGTAATCTTCCTGTTGTAAAAATGTCAAATAATGTAGTTTGTAATAACATTAATACAGAAGAAAAAAGTACGTTGCATGTAACTTACCTATAGTACTCCAGATTTTTGCTTGTACACTTGGATACATTTCAACTTCTTCGATGGTCAAAGTAATCAATTTTTCTAGAATTTGAGAAACTTTTTGACGTTTACCTTCGTCGCAAGGCTTGTGAAATCGGACAAGATTTTTAAGCCACGGAGTCATGTATTCAAGACAAAGATGCTTCAATTCAATAGACGATTGACGAAAACCTTGAATACATTCTTCAAGAAATTCAAGAGTTAAATGTGGATCGTTCGCTGCTAAAGTTTCACTTAGATTTTTAATAAATATTGTATTGTTTGATGGTATGCAGAGCCCAGATGTTTCGAGCAGTTGACCTTCAATTTTGAGATCAAAAGTGGCAGTAAGAGCGCATAATTGATTATAAGCTGCGGTACGTAGATTGGGATCAGAACTACCCAAATTAAGTAAGGCCATATTCAACAGAGTTCCTGGAACATCTTTTGGCCTTATTTTTGAATGTACTGACATATTGTCTGGTTGTGAGAGCTCCCATCTAAAAAAAAGACACGTTGAAAAAATATTGAACAACCATTGGAATAACGATTCGGTAATAATTGGGAAAACTGTTGTATGACTAAAGAAAGCTAAAAAAATTCACCTGTTACGTATGTGAACGATTGATTGCACGATGCTATCACAGTCATTGTGAATGAATGATAGAGGTCCTGCCTCGTTTGATATTGTTAAGGTAAATTGATTATCATCGACTAAACAGACTTCTTCGATTTCTGAGGCGTAATATACATCGTTGAGTAACACTTGATGTGAGAGAACTTTGCATTTTTCAGAAGAGGTGATCTGAATAGCAGTAGGACCAACCTTGATGTACACTTTTGTATCTTTGTGGGAAAGCTTTAGCGCACTACTAAAAACCTTGAGATCTTCATCAAGAGATAAAGTGGCACCCGGTAATTTTTGCTGCTCGGCATCAATGAAATCATTCAATCTGTTAGGGCCATCCACGAATACAATTTTTCGATTTCCTTTTAAAGGTACTAATATGCGATCGTGAAACTTAGTATATTCACGAACCCAATTATTGCAATTGTAGATGTATACTGTATTAACATTTTCGTAGGCAAATTCTGGTAGCACGTAAAACCATTTTTGCAAGAATTCAGCACGAAAACGATTTTCCGAACAAGTGTGCGTAAAATCAATTACAAGATCGAATGGTGCATGGCAAAAGGGCTTGAGCGATAATAGTACGTGGTAAATTAATAAATCACCATTGGTTTCTCCAATCCTGAAATCGATTTTTTTAATGTTAATTAAATTATAAATTTTAAAACGAATACGTTTGGTAATAAAATGTTGCATACTTAAATCTTCTCGCGATATAATAAAAAACCGGATAGCCTAATTTGCTTGTACCAGCTTGATAAAAGATATTTAGGCTTTTTATGCTCTTAAATTCATCTTTCTCGTGCATATTGTGTTTCACCATGATTTCTTCAAAATTTGTTGATGACATATCAATACTTGACCATCTAGCATAAGATGATGAAAAGAGTAAGCTGAAAACATACCCGGGATGGAAAAAGATTTATATTTGATCCAAACAAAAGTAAGTAGAAATCTGATACTCACTGTGAATCAATTGGTTTGTGTTCAGGAGGTCCAAGATATGCCAATAAGGTAGCCATTTTATCAAATGGCCTTCTACCGACTGATTTATAATCTCGACTACTGCTGAGATAATCGCCAATACGTTCTTGATGATTCCACAACAATCTGTGAAGGGCCAATACATTGGCATCAGAGACAAAGGACATGGGATGGTTCGTTTGTTCGACTGTCTCACAATCAGAAGCGATTTGAATGAAGAAACGACGAGCAATTTCAAAATTAGCGCGCAAAAAGTTATTGAATGCTAACATGTGTTGTTCTTTACTAAATTCGACATGATTAGCAATATTCTGCAGAATCTTTGATACGAGCATCAAACCACGTTTTACTGAAGTAGGTACAACTTTATTAACTATGCCTGTTTCTTTGGGTGAAACAATAGCTGGATTTATGAAACGAAGAAAAATAACGGTTCCTACAGCGCCAATATTATTTTGGGGACACTGAGGAAATCGTTTACTTAAAACTTGATACAGACAATGGCACATGGAACGCAATTGTGATGGAAATCTAACGAAAAAATTTATAATTAATACATAAAAGATAAATAATAAATAATTAAAAATTATATTTATATCAATTACTTGTCAGCAGATGAAACTATTGCATCAAACACTTTTTGTGTGAGTGCTATTAAATTTTTTCCATTCTGTTCAATATCTTCATTGGGATCGATTCTAGCACTATCCACTTCAAAACTTGTTGTTGTATCAGATAGGAGAGGTGTAATAAGAGGTTCTAATAAATTCTGAAGATAGCTTGCACCATATATTTTGAAGCAAAAAGCCATTATTTTACTACCTAGGCTATTGCCACGAAATAAAGTTTGCATGCTATCGGAAACCTCAACTTCGCGATAGAACATGTTCCACAAAAGAGGTGAAAGAAGATGTTTAGCATCGAATAAGGTGACAAACACTCGAGCTAATTCATCCATTTGATTCGTGGTTACTACATAAGCCAAAGCCATGGCAATGGGTAATTCTCCTTTATCACTTATCATTGTGACTAATTGAACAAGCTGCTCAAAACGATCAGCCAATACAGTTTCCGCTAGCGTATCAAATTCCGTTCCTTGTTGAAGTATCTTCGTCAAAACTTCCATGAAAGCTGCTCTTGTCTGAAGATCTCTGTTATAACCCAAACCTGTGTTGACAAAATATTGAGCTTACAGTTCATTTAAAACAAATACTTTAAAATTTCAAAATATTTTCTTACCAATGGAATGCATTAAACCACTGTCGATATTTGCACTTAGCAGATTGCTCATGGCTTGAATAGTGGAATTTCTTAAAGCTGATAACTTAGCACTTGTTATTACTGGTTTTCCATCGGTTTCTTTTTCTTGTTCACTCGCCGAGTTACAATCGTTCAATAAATTCATGAACAACGTGAAATATTTTAAAAACAATTGAGATTTGGCTTCCATTAGATCACCTCGGTCTGATTCTTCTGGTTGAAGGGGAAGACCAAGGAGTAAGGCTCCCACTGCCTCCATGCACGCCTGATCTAAATCTCTGAAGGATTGCATACTTAGGTGTAGTAGATGTAACAGAGATTTGAGTGATAACATAAAAAAAAAGGAAAAAAAAATAAAAATAAACAGAATTCAAAAAATGATGAAAGAATAAATGGTTCATAAACAATCGTCGACGTTCGAAAACTTGAAGGTAAAAAATTATTGCATGATAGTTTTATAAACACAAATTTTGTAGTAACCATCATATAATCATTATTAAAAATAACATTTACCTTGTTATGGTGGCATTATCAACATTGCCTGTAGGCGTAATAATATTCGTTGACCCTAAAATCCAATCTGTAAGATATTCTACTAATTTATTCCGAAATTTCATTTCCTGCCTAAAAGCCAAATCATCTCGGCGCTTCATCATGACTTCGACTAGTTGACAAAGTTTCGTTTTAATGTGTATAGAAGAAATTGTCATATCCAGATGACGAACATAACGAACTATCGCTAAAGTCATGCCTTCAATGCTTGTTATGCCAAGATATTCTGATGGTTCATCATTTTTAGTGTCAAGAACGTTTTTCATTATAAATATTATGTGCTCGATAAATTGAGTGTTTATATCTGTGAGTATCACTTGTCCTTGTGGATCAAAAAATTTTTCGACGATATTTTTAATCTGGTCAAAAAGAATTGGGTACAAAGCTGGGCTCATTTCATGACCAACAAGTTCTTTAACATGTTTTTGAATCTAAAAAAATGATTTGATTGTAATTTCAATGATGCAAAACGTAAATAAACCATCATTTTCAAAACAAAAAGTTACCTGTAGGCCAAATTTTTCATTGTTACAAATTAAAAGTCTTAAAAGATTGAAGACGAATTGAGTAACAGGGCAATATTGAAGATCTTGATTAGAGTTCGAAATTGTTGATATGGTATCTAATTTTGATCCTTTTTTGCTGTCTGGGGTTAGTGACAAATTCGACAATGGTCTAGTTGGTGACGTTCGTTGCAAACAAACACCACCAAGAGCGCACAAAAAACCTGTCATATTTGCCCACTCATTGATTTGATCTTCAAGCTCGTGTTCTGAGTTTTGATGAGAGGCGCGGCGTTTGCCTGCGCCACGATAAAATGATTCCGTTTGCCCTTCTTCAGCCTTTGACTTTGGATAATTGGTCAAATTGCGTGAAGCCTGGTCCCAGTTTCGAAATGTCTCTGCCCATGCCTAAACGTAAATAGTATTTAAAGTATTAAAAATGATATTCAATAGTCGATTACATAACTTAATTTTTAACTTACAGGTTGAACGCCATTGCTCATATGTTCAATTTTTCGAAGAAGAGCCATAATTCTCTTTTGTAAAGCTGCACGACCTAAAAAATCAAACAATTATTTTTGTAATATAGTAGAAAAAGTTGGACATAAAACTAAATTTTTCGTGATTTTTTTTTTCTCTGAGACTTATTTTTACATGACATTGTAGTAACTTTTTAACAATCAGTGAGCAATTACAAGCACACATTTTGTATCTTGCTAGATAACTGGAAAACCTATCAATTTAAATACGTGACCGATTTAAAATAATTGCAATTATTGCAAAAAATTGTACATATAACTTTAATAATTTATTGATAGGTTTATATTCATTTTTATAACAGAAAACTATAATGGCACAGAATGAATGTGTGCAGCGAAATTAGCATGAAGGGTTTCTAATTATTAATTTAAAACTTGTTTCATTTATGAACACTATACCAAAACTCACCATGATTGTGCTCATAAAAACCAATCCTACTTTCTCCGCTGGCTGTTATGAAATTTATTTTTTAGATTCGTAACGTGTACGAATTTACAGTTAGTAATAAGATATATCGTAAAAATAAATTCTTACCAGTGGTCAAAATGGTAGATGCTCGAGCTAGTTCAACAAATAAGTGATAGTTTGGCAGTAAAGTAGTAACAGCTACTTCGTCACTACCGCAACGTATTTCTGCCTCCTCGCAAAGTAACGAAAAACAAGACATAGATACCAAAACAGCTTCCATATCTATACTCCATAAGTACATGAAGAATACAATCTGCATTAAAAGAATAGATTATTATCTTATTATAAGAATAACTTTAAAACGTTGTGCTGAAATTTACCTCTAGTTTAATATGTGCCTGTTTACATATGTTTATTTGACTACCAACATTAGCAAGCTCTTTATTTTGCGATAAAAATATATTGCGACAAATGAGTATTTCCCGTAGCCATTTCAGAATGTCCGTATAATTGACAATTTGATGTTGAATGAGTTTTTGAGATATAGAGAAAAGAACTTGGGAGCTTACATCCCAAAAAGTATTTATTGGAGCTTCAGGATTCCATGTTTTAATTCTATCATGATGATAGAGAACGAGGAGAGCCTCCATTGCTTCATTAGCCACATCTGGCATATTCAATTGGTGCACCAGTGATACTAGACCATTTATTAATTCTAATGTCGCACTTTGAATTTCATGTCCAGCTTTTCCCTGGTTCTAGAAGAAAATGAATCAAAATTTCAATATCAAATTAATATTCAGCTCTTTTAATCATAGATACTCAAAGCACTTACACTGAGCATGAGCATTGGATCGGCATGTATCAATTTAACAAGCCAAAAAAGCAAATTTTTATAACTAGCAATTTCTTCTCCTTTGTCTTTGTATTTACTTTGCTCTTTACTTTTTAAAGTTAAACTTTGAATCATTCTTAATGGTGTATGAGATATGCAATTTTGGGTGACCTTATTCAAAGTATCTGTGAACATACTTCGCAAATCGGCACTCCGCGAGTAAACGAGATCGATTTGCGGCCACCATGGCAGTCTGGGCTGTGTTACAATTCTGAAATAATGGATTTTCGTGTCGATAATAAGATCTAATATTCCAAGAATAAAATGGAAAAAAATTGTTCTAACCTGTAGAGTGAGCTAACAAGTACATACTGATACGTCGTGGACGCATTAGGATTGAGACACACTTTAAATATTTCGTTGTTATGTGGTGATATCCGAAAACAGCTAACGAAGCCGTCGATCATTAGTTCGATGTCTTGAGTAATGAAATTCGTACCTCTTGAGAAGGGCTTACTAGGGTTAAACAATAGCGAAGTAAGGTCGTTCATAATGTGTTGAACGAGAGTAAATATGACATTACTGGAATCGGTGTTGCTGATGTAAGTCGATGCTTTGCAAAGCTTGACTCCGGTGATGGCGGCAGCCTCGACGTTCTGCCTGTTCGAGCCACCGTGCAAGCTTAGGCCTTTCTTTACGCTATCTATGAAAATCTTCTTCTTCTTGTGCTCTGGGGAGTACGGGGCGCCAGTGTCCGCGTTGACGATCTCCTCGAGTACTCTGGGCGAGAGAATCAGGAGCATCATTTGGAGCGGTCGGACCGTCGCGGCCCGTCCTTTTTTATCGGCAATGGCGTCCAATATGTCAAAAAGCTCACCACACGCTCTAACTAAATCTTCATTTTCTGTCTTTTGGATTTCAGCGAACTCTTGAGGATACGTATCCATCCAGTTCCATATGGCCTTTTCCAGTGAGCTCATGAGAACGAAGTACGCCGATTTTCTGAGCAGTCGAAATTTTTGATTTGCCTCTGTAAGTTTTTTTACGAAGATGTCAAATTTCAGTCAAAGTTCAACACTGAAGGATATTTTCTCGCTTACTTACCGCACAAGAGTCTGTGTAGTCGTTCCACGTCGACATTGATATGCTGGATGAGTTCTATATCGCTGTAATCTGGATTTTCCTCCACCGTACAAACCGACAGCTCTTGGAGCCTCGATGAAATCCGGCTGAATACCGCGTTGAAGAAATTTAAACTAAGTGCAAATAAAACTTTGCACGCTAGGTTTTTCATATGGGTGCTCTGAGGAGTATCATTGGGTAAATCTGCAAAGAAGAAATGATAATAAAATACCTTAGTTGCGACAATAATTGCCAGCTATTCTTTTTCCAACGTTAAATATATTAAGTATCAAGCGATGTGATAATCGTGAATAATGCGCGATGATATAAGTTTGCGTAAAAGCGTACAGATTAACAACACACCTATGAACTGGCAAATTTCGCGAAGAAGTATCTTGACGTTCATGGCTTCGTCGTATTTGGTGTTATCCTTGGGTTGATTGGCAAGACAGCATTCGAGGGTGTCTAGGACAATTATGATGGACTCGTAGCAGTGTCGCTCCTGGTCGGTCGAGTGGAAGCGCGCCCCAGCCACGCCGCTGAACATCATCTCGTTGACGCGCTTCAGGATGCCCGTGAGGCCCGAAATGACCAATGAAAAGCGGAAGCGCGAAATCTGGATGAGGCATTTTTTGTTCTTCTCCTCGTTCAAGCGCGTGTGCGTCGTTTGAGGCCCAGCGCGGCATGGCAGCTGCCCAACAAAAGAATTTTATTCCCATCGTTACGCGCGGGTTCGCAAACTTTTTTTCGCCTCGTCATTTAATCGTTTAGAAAATAAATTTTGTAATAACGAGATTTTCACGAACTTGGAATAGTTTTTAAAAACATTGAACATTTCTGAATTTTTCATGCCAAGTTTAAGAATGGGAAAATTTGAATAAACTCGAAACGAAGGAGATTAGTCGATTTCGCAAGCGACGACCATTGCTGAGCATGTGCATAATCGCAGGTACGCGTAAAAAGCAGTAGAGACACATTATATACGTATGCTTATATATCTCCGTGTGAATGATTTTGTGTGAATGAAAAGACAGGAGCGAAATAAGAGCGAGAGACACGCGCCGGAGGGACCTTGTCCGTGAATCATGCGCGCATCAATTGCAGCCCGAACCCATTCATGAAACTACCCCGCGCGTGCGCGCACCGTGCACAGCCCTCTTATTATTTTGCAGGCTTCTCGGCTGCCCCGAATCGCCCGCGCTCGACTTTCGTTGAGAAAATTCACGCTCAAAACGATGTTTACGCCGACTATTGAATGCTCGAATTAAATGAAAAGTTGGATCTCGTTAATTGATTATCGAATGATCGAACGAGTTATAAGCCACATTTCGATACGAAATTTTTTGTATTCATAAACTGTTGACGAGTTGCGATGCATAGGAGATATCCCAATTTCATGTATTGAACAAAATTCAAATTATTTCTCAAAGCTTTCATTTGTAAAATGAAAATAGCGTAAGGTCTAATTGTACAAGAAGCTAGAATAAATTTTGAATACGTATTATTCGTAACCAATGAAAGAAATGATTTTATGCATTGAAGGAATTTTAAAATATTTGTTCTTGCTTCATTGCTCCCATTATAAGGCTGCCACATTGAATATGGAGTAACGAAAGTCGTTCGTATTCATTGATAAGCATTCACGTACGCTATATGAAATAAAATTTTCAACGCCAGGTACGTATGCATGTGCATATAGGTGTAAGACGATCTGGGTATGGCGGGGGTGTGCGCGTTGCCGAGTCGATGTTTGCAAGTGGGTCAATGAATGGGCGCGGAACGCAGGCGCAATGACAGCACGAGGGTGGCTCAGGCTGCGTGGCTTGCCGTACATATACACACACACGCGCGCGCGTTTATATAGTTAGCATATGCGAGAAATTTTGTTGAATGTAGAACGCGCGGCTCGGCAAAGGGTGGCGTCAGCGACCGAAGGTCAAGTGAGAACCACCCGATGCATGAATGAACGGACTTTAACACAACTTCTTCTTCGACTTTTTAAAACGCCTGCTTTGGCTCGGCTCGATGCTCCAATGTAAAGATGATCGTTAAAGGTTCCGTTTCCTCTTGGCGATAGTCAAATGATTTTATAACTAATGAACGAGCAAAAAATCGAAAAGACGAAAGACGAAAAAAAAACACCAAGATAATTTCGTTGGCGTCCCGTAGCTTCAGGGAGCAAATACTTCAAAGCAGACGGCTCTGAATATCAATTTGAAAGTATGCAGTAACGAGAAGAGAAGTTAATTTTAAAGAAGTCTAGCCCATTGCGCTGCTAAAAAAAGCCAGCACCGACCAACTTCCTGAAAATCCCGACTCTTTTTCAGCCGCAAATACACTCACGCACCAACGCACACCTATCCCGCATGCGTTTGCTCGCACACTTTATATACGTATTATATTACACATGTGTAAGTCAGCATCTGGACAGGAGAAAAGAAGACGAGAAACAAAAAGGGAGAGAGGAGACAAAAACAGGAAGATCAGCCCCTTCACTTCCTTCGTCTATGTAATTAATGAATCAAGAGGTTGACGTATGTAAAATAGAAATTGCAGTAAATTAAGGGTCATTTGTCTCACCTGTTCCTCAAAACGACCCATCAATGCGACAGCCCATTCACCGGGCTTCTGAGTGCCCATTCTGTACTATCTGCGAGAATTACGCACTCGTCGACGCAGAAAGATGGATTTTTCGTACGGATGCGTTAGGCGGGCTTCTTCCTCGCCGTCGTTGTTGTTGCCTTGCGTGCCCGCGACTTCTTCATATTTTATCCCTTCCTTGTCTCCTCTCGGTTTAATTCTCACACCACCTCGTCGAATCGTTCATCCGCTGCTTCTACGACGAATACATTTTTTTTATTTTTCGATAAATATTTTTGTTCACTTTTTAGCGCTTCGGTGTATAAGATTTGATAACATTTCACGCAGTAGCAAAATTGTGCTTGTAGTCAAACCGCAGAGGCGAGTTCAATATCAAGCGTAACGACGAACAGACAACACACCCAGTTATGAAAGACATTAATATATTTTACATGCTTTTTATGGAGATCCTCGAAATGTATTCACTTAAATTATCACTCATTACACGAATTTTCGAATTAACGAGTCGACGACTGTAAACACGGATAATAAATTTATATTGAATAAAAAGTGTCCGTTTAAATTATTTATTGCGTGTAAATATTGAAAAATAAAATTTGCTAACTATAAAATGAATAACACGCGTTGAAATTGTTAAGCCAGAGCACGGGAAAAAATGTTGGAAACAATAAGCTCGAAGTTTGTACAAATTCATTCATAGATCAATGTGAATGAGTTGATTCATAAGGTTTTATCAAAACAAGCGCTCGTAATGACATAAGCTGGGGTATGCGCTAAACCCCGACGAAGATCGTCAGGAGAGAAAGAAAAAGTTGCCAAGGACAGGAACATTATCAGAGAGGACGCAAGGCTTAGCTTTCAACGGTTCGCGCACAGCGAAAAGCTTCAACGATCCAGCTACGAGAGGTTCAACGCGTTGACGATGGGAGCCCGAATTTGAGGTTAGAAAGCGAGTCTCATTCATCGTATCTCGTGCCAAATCCGTGAAGCCTCGACGCTGCAACGAAACGAGAGATAAAGATGCAATAGACGCGTGCGACAAGGAGATCGAGCTGGGATGGACGCTTATTGCCGATGGCTCGTCGAATCGATCGTGCATGGATCGTGCAAGTCGTGTGTCGTTTTGATCCTCGATCGCGATGCCCAACGGGTAGTTATACACGTCTATCATAACAGAGGCATGCCAAATGTCGTGTGTATGTATGCGTGTGTGTATGTGCGTGTCGAGTGCCTGTAAACTAGATCGTACCTGCGATCGTTCGGGACGTTGTGCTATCACTCGAGGGGAACTAGCAGTCTCGTGAATGGATAGGAGCGAACAGGTGCCTCCGTGCGAGTCGCAGCGTTGGTCACTACTGGCGCACTCCCGGCCCTCGTGTCGTATGTGCGGAATGGACTCGTGTGCGAGAAGTGTCAATCGCCAGCAGGCCGCGGTCTCGCAGCGTCGACTGCTCCGAGTATCACTGCGGGGGTTCGATTGTATCGAGATCTCCCTGCGCCTGCCTTATTAGATTGGCTAATTTACAGCGAACCGCCATCGGCCATTGTCAAATTTCGTTCGAAATATCCATTTAACGCTCCGCGCTGCATGTGTATCGTGTGGGCCAGCTCGGCTGCAGTGTCTCCCTATACACACGCACCCAGAGGCTCATCGAGTCGTCGATCGTAAGCACAAAAGCTGACGCCCGCTATGTAGCGCTCGAGTTGTGTGATCGCGGGCCGTGACTATGCGAGCGGCGAGCTCGGGACTATCGCCAGTACTGCGCGCGGACTTGGATTCTGCAAAATTCTTGGCTACCGAATCGCTCGCAGACTCGCAGTACTACGGGCCTATATAGATATATGGTATTAACGGAAAAAGACGACTCGAGTTGTGCGCGCCCCGCAGCGCCTTATGAGCCAGCCAGTCATGAATGCGCTTGCGTCTCTATCTGTCTCTCTCTCTTGCTCACGCTTACTCTCTTATACATATCTATATGTAATGAGTGTAGTCTCCTCCAACTCCCTTGCTACAATTTCCTCAGTCCTCTATATACCTACTACTTGTAATGTACGATAGTGCCTCATGCTTGGCAGCTTGCAACTATATACTCGCAACTCCCGAATCTACATGCTTTCATAAAGATGAGATTGTACCGATGAGCGTGACCACCCGTCATTCATATTTAAATATTTACTACTGAGCTCAAAATTTTCTCAAGCTCGCCACAAACTTTCTATATAAATATTTTCTCCTGTGTGTAAATAATATGAATACCACTTAATGATCAGGTCAACTCTTCTAATTAATCGATGCATTATCAAGTTGGTAACGAAAAAAATTTTTTAGCTCAACGTTAGATGATAGGCCCAATGTTTGGCATAAAATAAGTTACGCGCGAAAAAAGATTCGGCGCAAGGTATGACAGTTGTCGAGTTTCGCAGCGCATGTCCCACTGCACCATTCATGAAAATGGTTCAGTCCGTCGTGAATGAAAGGTTCGATCCAAATAAGAATGGACTGTCATAAAATTCATAACTTCATGTATCGCGAAGTAAGTCTTTTTCTATACTTTTCTATTTTCATTATTTTATTGTGTTTAATGCAACAATTATGAGAGATTAGTCAATTAGTTTTAAACTGCTAAAATAATTATACAGAAAAAATTTTCAGCCTATTCCCAAACAGAACGAATTAAGTTGAATTAAAAAACTGTAATTACAGCAAAACCCATACAGAGTTACCTATTTAGATCTGTTTATAGTCGCAATTTCGAACTTTATGGAAAATAGATTTTTTATTATAGCGATAATAATAATAACACAATGATAAATTTTAAAAAACGATAACGTTTAATAATATAATATACAATTTCATAATCAAAACAATTTTATACTTGTTGATTTTCCAAGTATGATATGGTACTTTTCAGAACATCAATTTTTTTAGACAGATGTTTTTCTACACACGACAAACTTTTTAAGTCAAGATCAAGAACCTTAACATCAAATACAAAAGTTTTTGATTCAGAAGCGGTAATGATATGCAGTGGATCGATATGTTCCAGTGATTCTCTGAAAAATGAAATGTAAAAGTTAATCAAATTTTTTCGTTATAAAAATGGCTAATGAACTAAATATTTATGAATCAGAAAAGGAGTACATATTTTTTTAAATTTTGAGCTCAGGTCTACGTCAAGGTAAAATTTGAATTTTTAAACTCTTCATCTAAGATTTGAATTTTTTTATGTGGCTTCACATAACTTCAGAAGTCATTAGGACAATGGTTACAGAAAATGAGCCTCAAAAAACGTTTTGAAAAATGTTTATTTTGAACTCGACTCCAATGCTCTCGAGTTTTGAGTATTCTTTCAACTGAAGTTTTTCTAAGCCCTTACATTTAACTATTTTTTAGACAATACTTTTTTCTATGCCTACATTATTTTAAGATAAAATTTTTTCAAACTTTTTTTCATATTACAATGTGTCGGTAGTCAAAGTTGTGCTGCTCTCGAAGAAAAATAAAATACATCAATTTACTAAGGTTTTAAATATTATTACTTGTTTCAACGACAACGATTTCTTCAATGCCGACTGATGGTTCAGCGACTAGTTGTTCAACTTTAAAATTATCATAATTTAATATTGTATTTTTTCTGTCTAATCATTTTGATAATTGCAATATTAGTTGTAAAAGTACAATAAATTACTGACAGGTAACTTTTTTGAAAACTGTTTTTTTACAACTTGGTGACTTATTGAATAAAAAAATGTATACTTATATAGCGGAAAAAATTATGCATACTTATCGAGTTCTTGAAAGGTCATCATTATCGAACAATCTCTTGCCAGACTGAATAAAAGATAATTTCCCAAAACATCAAAACAATCATTCACAGATAAAGAACCAATGATACTTTTTTCCAAGATTTGGTTGACGTTAAGTGGTTCATTATTAGAGATTTGTTTAAATTTGTCGGACGATCCGATTGCACTCTTCTGATTAACAATCCATTTCTCTAAGCGTTTTTTTCTGCTTCGGAAAATATCGTCAGTACTTGCATAAATCTGCACATTAACATCAAAGAATTTTTATAATTGTACTATGTGAATTGCTTTGAAAAAATGTTTTCATGGAACTTACAATAGAAAGATCCGCTAAATCTTCATGAATGAGTTCTTCTGCATTGGTGCCGAAAAACAAAATGAATTCGTTGTATATGGCAATTATGACATCAGAAGGGCAATCATGAAGCTGCTGCATTTTATAAATCCGTTCTAATACTGAGCCTTTTTTGATAAGCCCCTCTTGACTAATTTCTTTCATTTGGCATTTCTGTTGACGTATTCAATAATTTGAAAATTCGTATAATGTATCGATGGATTTAACTATTTCAGAGAAAATTCATTTACAAAACTCAAAAATCTCTGGAAATTCGTAAAATAATTTTCCCTCGAACAGTCACACAATATCAATATACTTGTATTAGAAGATTCAATAAACAAATATTCTGTGATACACTAAAAATATATGTATTAAAATAATACATAATATTTATAATGTTTCCAATAAATATATATTTTACCAAATTATCATGTCAACACAGTCCAAAAATGTATGTTTCTAAAGTTGAAGACAAAAATAGCCTTAGTCCTCGTTTATAAAATAGGAATTGAGTTTTTTTCTACTGAATTAACTGAATTTAAAAAGATACCTTTTTGCTCAGGGGCGACGATGTGATTTCAGGAAATTGTAAAGACTTAATTATAGGGTCTTTTTGAATTAAATTATTTTCTAATTAGAACGATTACAATTTTCTTTTAACAAAAAATTGATAACATTTTTATCAAAATACAAATTATTTAGCACGTGTAAAATTACTATAACATTGTGCATTGTTGACTTGTACTCAAATTAAGATATTTGATTCCTAATAATATAACACAATGGTATTTGACTTTGAAATATGAATTTTTACTTACGATTAAAAATTTCAAATGTCGGATCCAACATTAGCGATCTTTAGATCAAGATACATGTATAGTTTTAACTCGAAAATGTAAGTAATTTCTTTTATTATTCCACGAATGGGTTTGAAGTAGATATCATCAGTGCACTTTTAGCCAAAGTTTTTGAAAATGATTTGAAGAAGTTGCTATTGGTTTTATTAGACAAGTATGGCAGACTCGAAGTGGTGACATACAAAGATAGAGCTTTCTAATATTTGGCTCACACATTTTTTGATTCTAATACAGAAATGTGAAAATTTTTTGCTTCGTTTAGGTTTTGTGTTTATAATAAATTAATTAATGTAACTTATGAACACATTATATTATACCTGATTCGAACGTTGCAGCAAAGATCTAGCTTTATTCAATAAATTTACATCAATTGAACGGGCTACCTGGATTCCGTCAAAATTCATTGATCGACGTTTCGGAGGATTACTATTGGAATCGAACGGTCTTGTGAGGGCTTCCATCATGATTTTTATCAGCAACATTCTTGAATCATCCTCGTTGCTTAAAAAGTTACTTAACAATTTTTCAATCGATGTTTCTTTCATATCATTAATCAACTCACCACCCCTAAATAAACGAAAATTGTTTTGAGGGGCATTCATCAGAGATTCTAAGGCTTTTTTCATACGTAATTCTTCTCCAGAGAAAAGATCAAACGGGCAATACTGGCTAGGACTGTCGATGTTGCGTTTCTCAACCTGTTGAATAAGAATACATTTATAAATTGACTATTCAAAACAATTACAGCTACTGTTACAGATTTTAAAGTTAACGAGTTTGCTAGTCAAAAACCACATTCTACTAATAACGCATACGCATTTTGAATTTATATACATCTTTCGGTATAAAATGCTCTACTTCAACGTTATTAAAACATTATGAATAAAAGCGAAAAAAAATCGTCTGATAAGCTACATGACAGAATATTGATGAGATGCATAAGATCTGCAGTATAAGAGCGCGATTTGAAGAGAAAAAAATTAATGATGCAATGACTCAATTTCTAAAATTACTGATTTTATTTTCAAGTTTAACAAAATTTTGGATAAGATTAAATTGTAATTTTGTTGTTACTATTTTGCTAATGCTGATACTTTACTTTACCTTATAATACTGCATTAGACAATATTGACATTTAGGCAGTTGATTTTCAATGTTGTAAATATATCCTTGTTTGGGCTTAATTTCGACACAATAGGTTGGCTTGTTTTTTGCAATGGAAAGATGGTGTGATAAAAAAGTATAGTCTGGATATTTTGTAGCATAACCTCCGATTATATCTTTTTCCAGCCGATTTTCTGATGTGAAAAATAAATGCTAGTTAGTTTAATAAAAATAAATTATAATACTAAATGCTAGAATAAAAACGTGATTCAAAAAATCACTATGGTTCTAAAGTTTTCATAAATATGTATTTTTCTCGTCAAGTAACCTAGCTTGGTGGATGTTTTTCGAAATCTTGCCACAATCTTACAAACGTAGGTAAAATTCCGTAAAAAATAATATGCAAAAAATGAAAAAATCGTTGTTTTGTTTCTGTACAGATTTTTAAAGAGAGTATCGGCATAAGCACCTTTCGATTTTTTGGAAATACACAATTGCCTGGTTGAACTTTCAGAACAGAAGTGTTAAAAAAGAAGGAGAAAAATTTTACATTTTGTAAATTTTGTAATGTTCACCAGAAAATTTTTCTGCATTAGCGAGCACAGTATCCGTTGAGAAACATAACTTGAGATTTTTTTCACTTTCAAATTTTTTGTCGAGGACAATTTAGTGAGTTCTTTAAAGTAGCATGCGCAGGCTTAAAGAAGTGTAAATGAAATGAATCAAATTGTTAATAACTTTCGAATAAAAATATACATACCAACTTCAACAATTTTGAATGAAAAATTAACTTATAAGTTTCTAAAAAAATTTGAATTAAAATTGAGTAAACTATCAGAATCAAGATTTATAAACCTCAAGACAACAGAGATTTTCTGATTCAAATCATTTATTTTCAACAAATTCATTTTTAATCGTGCTATAAATTTTTAACATCGTATCAATTTTCTTAATTTTAAAAACTCTTCTTAAAGTAATTATCACTGGATGTATTAAAAAAAAAGTTGCAAAACGTCCGATTTCGCATGCATTGTCAGTGACGTTAGATTTTAAATGTATAAATGAATTTAGATAGGCATAGAAAAAGCATATTTGCTACATTACCGACTCTCTTAATCCACTCGTGACACCTGAAGTACATTTGACTAACTTTGATTCTTAAACACTTTCGCGTAACAGTACATGGGATAGGGCTGTGCGAGTACTCGACAAAAGTTGACTCGTTGAGTTCGAATTTTTTCCTCGAGTTCGAGTCGAGTATTTGAGTTTTTTCGGGTACTCGCGTTTTTTTCGAGTACTCGAATTTTCCAGAATCGACTTGAACTCGACAACTCGGGTACTCGCACAGCCTTAGTATGGGAATTTCAATTGATCCATGTAGAGAGATTTAATTTGGTACATATTCAGAATCAAATTTTTTAGTTGTATATTTATCAGTCTTATGAGAGAACAGTCTTATTACTGATTATAAAGTTAACTCTAGCATATAATATCGATACTTTTTTGTTGTTTCTCTACCATGAAATCATCTATCATGAGATCATACTTGAAATATCATTTCCAGTGCTTCTGAAGACTTGATAATGACTTTAGAATTCCGTTAATCAATTAAAAATTACGTATATCGATTTTTCACACTTCAATTTATAAATTAAATTTTAAATAAACGTTACGAATGAACTAAATATTTTTTATGAAACACTCATTTGAAACAATTATGGAAAATTTATTTACCGGGTCTATAACTTCGAATCTTTTGTGCCAATCTTCTTATTTCTACCTCCGAGCATAGTATGATTTCTGGGACATCCACATAAAATCCTAAAAACCCAGTAACGGTACCCTTGATGAAATTTACCTCTTGACGCAATCGTTTTTCTGCTCTTTTCAAATCTTCTGTTTCATTTACAACAGTGGCCGATTTTTTCAAACGGATGACTGAACGTTCCTAAATAATAATAAACAAGTTAATTTTATTTTAATAAAAAAATATCGAGTTTTAGTACAATACTTTGTATTAAACGATTATGAATTGACATCAATTAAAGTAATTGAATATATTTAATATATGAGATTATAAAAATTACGCACCTTGGATGAAGCCACAATAAGATTAGCATTTCCTTCGCCGCGGTAAGTGCACAATTCAATCCAAAAAGTACCATTCATAATGAAAAAAATAGATCTTTATCCTTTCATACATTTAACATTGACGCGTTTTGAAACATTTTTTATAGTTTTTTCATTGTGAGGCACATTTCAATTCCAACGACTTCTGTAACATACGTGAAAAAATCATACTTTAAATACTGATTCTTAATTTATCGAAGTATGTAATGAACTGAAAAAATAAAGGCGGTAATTTTAAAAACTAATTCATAAATCTGACAAAAAAGTTACTAGACAGTGAAAAAAATACGTATAGAAATAAGAGTATGCGCAGGGAAAGTCTGGCGCATGCGCTTCATCAAATCTCAGCAAAATATCATACAGCTTATAGCGAGTTTACAGCTAGCAACTTATATAAAATTAAAACTAGAAAGAGCTGGAGAGAGATAGACAGACGGTCAGAGAGAAGTGAAAGGCAGGAAAAGTAAGGAGGAGAGAGCAAAAGAGAGGGGGAACCAAAGAAAGACTTGATGCTTGTTGATGCCGGAATCCCCACTATCACACCCTGCGATGTACCCCCCCTTTTTCCTATAGCTCCTAGAACAAAGACAGACTTGGTTAGTTGGCTTTACGTACACAGCAAGCACTCACTTAGCTTCCGGCTGTCAGAGAGAAAACATCTCTGTAATATACGCCACACAGTTTGTGAGTGGCACACAAAATTTTTTCAATATTTCAATTTGGTTTAATAGTAAGATTCACCTGAAAACTTTGTGCAAGTTGGATTCGTGTGTGAAATTTCATTTAGATATCAAAATTTATACATCAAATTTTCAATCAGTGTTGGTGTGTGTGGCTCAGTAGTGAAACATTGCACTCAATTTAGTGCAAGTGAAAGTAAAATAGTCGAGAAAATACATTAAAAAAAATTTTCTAGTTTTGAAAATTTGTTCAATGCATTCAATTTTTGTTCAAGAATTAAGGAAATCAAGATTTGCTCATTGAGAGTACCCGACATTCATACGCAGTTTCAAAAAAAATTTTAATGAAACTTTTCATTTACGTCATCATCGAATACGATATACACTCAGCAGCACAATGAAGAGAGAAGTAACACTGGCAGCAGATTTATTGCTAAAACTTAAGAACGACCAAAAAAGTTCTTTAAAGCTTAATCAACTGATAAGCTTTAAAGAATCTTTAATTCAAGTTCTTGAAAAAAGATTTAGCGGGCATTGGTATCCTCAGAAACCAACTAGAGGAAGTGCATTTCGATGCATTCGAATCAATACGAAAATGGATCCTGTGGTGGTCGAAGCTGGTAGCATTGCTGGTATCGAAATCAACGATCTTCGTACCATCTATCCAACAGAATTAACTATTTGGATAGATCCTAGCCATGTGTCTTATCGTATTGGAGAAAATGGTTCAACATGTGTACTCTTCGATGGTGTTTCCGAAAAAAGCGATTATGTCGATAATTCCAAGCCTAAAAACATCCAGGTTGTGAAAAACGACAAAGTCAGCACCGCGAATGAGTGTGATTCATCACTACCCAGTTCTCCTAAAATTGATCTTGAGAAGCAAAATACGAGTCAAGAGCGCCACGACAACGTAAGCCCCAGTAAACTTAACGCTTCTAGCCCACCTTTTCATCCATCTCCACGAGCTAACTCGACAACAAAGAAAGCTGAATACATCGCGCGTCCAGTGCCAACAGTTTCATCGCGTCCATACTTTTTCACGTACGTTAACGGAGAAATGGTTCATTTTACACCATCTGTAAGAATCTCATCGCAACCATCCACACCGCAATATGGTTGTGGTGCCATGGACATTCTCAGCAGCGATATTAATAATATAAATATTCATTGCAATAACAATACTTATGTTTCCAGTTAAAATGGTCATTACATCATTGACATCGTAATTTCATGATCTATCAATGCACATTTATTATTAGACATATCTTACTTCTTAATAAGATAAAAGTATATATTCTTATAAAAAACGTTTATTTAGCTATAATGTACATTAACGAAAATGTTGTATTGGTAGATGTGAAAATTTTTAATTCATTTTTCTCTTGGAACTGTGTACATAAATAATGTATATAAGATAAATATAAAAATCATGAATTTCGTATACAAGAAAGCATGATCCTAACAATAAATTGATCTCATGTAACAATTAAAAATGAAAATGAATCCTTGTATTTCATAAATTTTTCCCTAGTAAAAATAGCGTCAGTTAAGGAGATCTGTACCCGAGCTTAAAAATTAAAATTTTGATCCAGTTTTTTGAAACTTCTATTCAATATTTCTCTGAAAGCGACCTTAAAAACATCAAGATGAAGGTCGCCATGGAGCCCTTTAAAAAAATATTAACTAGAAGTTTCAAAAAACTGGATCGAAATTTTTATTTTTGAGCTGAGGTACGGATCTCCTTAAAGAAAATAATTCAAACAGCAGGAATGAAAACATAAATTTTTTTAAATATTCGATTTGTAAACATTCGATAAACGTACATATTATTCATAGTTTGTTGTATAAACAATGGTATTTGAAAATTCGTTTTTATAAAGATTTGTATCGAAAACACATCAAGTGAAAACAACTCATCAGTCTATGCTCACCTCTAGTAAATATTCAGTTTTACATAGCTAGTATGTGCATATGGTGAAATGTATAGTGTTATCAAGTCAATAAAGTGTCATCACTGAAACAGAGGAATGTGTACATAAGATGGTTAGTTCATCGATATGAATTTTTCATGTAATATTTTGTATAAGTTAACAAATGATACTATGTGACAGAAACGGAGCAGTTGTGATTTTTCTTCGCGGGATGGAGAAAGTATGTAATTTGATTTAAATGTATGTTTAACGATTGAAAAATATGTGTATATTTTCATTTTTAATAATGAGAGCAAATGTATCGTGAATTTTATAATATATAAATAGTTCTCTCGGACGTGGAAGAATGAAAAATGTCATTCACAAGAGAGGATAGCGTACAGACTGATTGGTGTAAATTGAATCATTTACATATGCTCAAATTTAATCGCTGATACATTTTTTTATGGATGAAATTGAACTCTTGATATATTTTTCACAGGGACTGATCAAATGTAATATTTTTATTCTTAACTGTAATGAAGAAATATGAATTATAATTTTAAAAAAATTATCTATAATCAATTTTGTCTGTGATGATCAGAAATGAATAAACTTTCTATAAACTTAAAAATAATTACAGCATGAATTATCATTTACCCTCGTCATATTTAAATTAAGAATAATTTTAATTATCTTGTATGCTCTATTAAAATATAAATATTTTCTCGACTTGAATCTTAAATATTAGCGTCTAAATAATTATATAAAGAAAATATCTTGTTTTTGAATTTATTTAGGCCGTAGTATTACAAATAATTTCATCGAAATAATTAATTTTGCAATGATTTAACTATTGATAGGAACATATTTTATACAGATTCAAATCAATTGATTGAACATAAAAGTAATTTATTATTACCTCAAAGAAAACGAATCAGAATTTTCAGCAGTTTCTTACTCTCATAATAAATGAGCTATGGCATCAAATTTTCTTAACTTCTAGTGAATACTTGACTATAAGAGTCTGCATGTCGCCCTACGGAATATCGAAATGAAAGCCACCATAAACCTTTTAAGAGGAATGAAAGCTAAATTTGGAATTTGATTTTCGGGATGGATTCGCTATCTTCTGAAAAACGAATCGGGATGAATTTTCGGGAATCGACTGGCTTGGATATATCCCGGGGCCTTCAAAAGTTAATATGTTTGTCCTTTGAAAAGAAAATTTATTTTTAAAAGTAAACGTAAATTGGGTAGTAAAAGAAAATTTTATGTTTTATTTCTGCATCAAAATTTTAAAAATCAAAAATCGACCAACAAATATTCTCTTAACATTATTTTCTACGTATAACATTCATTATTGCCCGGAAATAATTTCATAACTAACTAAAGTTGTAATTATCTTTAAATAAAATAAAAATAAAATTTGATAAAATTTTACAATATATTTGTTTCATTGTAAAATTAGAACAATTGAGCCATTATCAGAAAAAATGAATAAATTTTAATAGAAATGCACAAATAAAATTTATCGACAAAAATCAGAATAATTCTAAAAGTAACATTACCTGTGACTTTCATTTGCTATCTGTATGTGGATTATGATAATATTTTTTTGGAAAATTCAAACTTTGAGCTTCATAGCATCATGGAAGATATCATGTGATCGACCCTATTTAGCAGCTTTTCTCTTTTTTCACGTGATAGTAACATTCTATTGTTATTAAATACGATCAGCGTTAAAAGTGTTTTTTTAAATTGCGTGCGCGAAACACGGTTTTTCTAACTTTAAATCGTCAGAAAACCCTAGTTTCTCGTAAGCAGGGTTAAAAAATATCGTTTGCAACTAGTCCGCGAAGAAGTTGACTTACCCAGGAGTCTTTGCACCCTCACTACGATCGGGTGAAAACAACTTCTGGATGAGTCAATTGCTTCGCGCACTTGTTACAAAATATACTAATAAATGCTTATTTGAAATTATAAAAAGTGTAAAAACAAGTGATTGATTTTGGGTCTGTTGTAAGCAAAATAAATTAGTTTATGACTGTGATTTTAACTCAATTAATATTGTTAGAAATCAAACAGAAGAAAGGGAGAGAAAGAGGATATATAAGGCTAGCAGCAAAATAGGCTGCTTAACGGAATATTGCAACGGTAACATGCCCGTTCTATGATAGCATATACTATACACGCATATATTTACGATTTGAAAATTAGTATCACGAAAAACTGTATGAAATATTCTCTATTGAAGGATCATGGTTGTTTCAAATTGGGGTTTTAAAAGAAAAATAATTTTCTTTATCAGTCAAGCATAATGGTTTAAGTCAATTTTTTAAATTGAAAAGAGTTATTAATTGTTTTTATTAATCTTCAAAATCCAAGCTTGACAGTGAATAAAAAAATTATTAAAACCAATATTTTTCCAGTTTATAATATCATTTGGAAAAATGTAAAGTTATTCATCGGTTGCATTCATCGGTTGCATTCATCGGTTTAGTTAAGCCTATACTTCTTACGTTTTCTGGCACAACTTGTGTGAGCTAGAAGTGCTTACTATTGAGTGCAGTTTGTTCACCGACCTATGAGTGGAGATAGAACAGCTAGGCCTTTCACCATATGTAGCTTGCCTATGGGATCCCTAAGCCAGTGAACATTTAGTCAAGGCGTAAAAAAAAATTATAATTATTTATAGAGTAGAATAAGAGAGTATAAGCAGAATAAAGATAATTTTAACGACGTGTTTATTAAAATTTATTTTTTTTCTCATATACTTTAAGAAATTAAACTTTTTCAAGTCACAGCATATTATAGCTCAGGTCACTGTATTCACACATCATACAACGATCGATGCTCTTGCTCTTTGATCACTGTGCTATAGGGATTCTGTTGGCTCTAATGCGGTGAAAGGCCTAGCTGTTGCACTATCTCTGCATTTAGATCAGTATACTACCCAATATCTGCATGACCTGCTCCAAGTACCAAGCTCAACTTGTATAAATACATGAAAAGTTGCTTATAACACTTCTTGTTTTATAAATTCGATAAATTCGATAAAATTAATTTTAACATACAATAATATAAATGAGACATTAATGTGCTGATAATGATAGAAGTAACATTAATTTAATGTTTTTTTTCGTCAGAGAATATTTGGGCACTATTAATAAACTTTCTCATTGTAAATTTATGTGTGACAAGTTTTGTACAAAGTATAATAATAATACGATTAACTGATTTCAAACACCCATTTCGATAAACAAAAGTTAAGAAACATCCTTCATAATTTTAATGTATTTTTAGATCTTTGAAAATTTGCATATATAAAATTAGTAAAATTTTACATTACTTATTTGACAAGCTTAAATACGTAATTCCGATGGAAACAAAATTAAATTAAATCTTAACACTTAATAAACTTTTCAATTATTTTCGGTATAAAATACGTAAATACGTAATTATTAACATGTTTTTGCCTGATTGCTTATATAAACCATAAATCGGATGCATTTACCACATGAATCTATCGCGTTTCCTTCCGATACCATGCATAAAGTTCGATGCTGAATATTATATTTAAAAAAAAATTCATTTAATTTATCTTTTCAAGTATTTGATGCTCTCAATAAACAACACGACGATAAAATATTGCAGAATCGAATCATTTTATATCTGCAAATACATAATTGTAAATTAAAAGAACACGAAAAAATTGTAAGCAGTATGAAATAAAGCTGAAACAACAAGCACAAACAGTGTAAGTCCTCCTGCGCACGAAATCAACAGTAGTGCGCAAATACAAAGTACTATGAGTCGTTGCCAAATAAGAAAGTGCGCCTGCAAAATTTCCATTTAAATCGTGAGCGTTATTTCCATGAAGTACCGTTGCTCACAGAAATACTACTTTTCGTTTTACTCTAATTTTTTTGTATGCACTGCAAAATACAATCGGTAATGTAATCTATATTTGTAGGCCTACTTCGGGTTTTGACTAGATTTTCGTAAATAAATGCAACTGTTGACGAAACTAAGAATTAATGTAACACTAGATCCTCATAATATCTTATTAATCAGAAAATTAAAAATAGTCCTGTGGTAGAGTAGTGAGTTGCACGTATAGCGGGTCACTTGGTTTACCCCGTAAGGGGAAGGTCTGCATTGTGGGAAAATACAAAATACACATACACATATATAGATACATGTAAAACGCGCAGAAAGTGTGCGCGCATGCAGGAAGCCGCACTGCCGCACCCTCATACTCCGCTGTATGCCACAAGCTACTGCTGCTTTCGCGTACATGTGGCAACGTGGGAAGCCTTTTTTCGGTCCGCTTTTGCACAGCGGTACTGCATGATGCTGATGACAATGATCTCTACGCTGGTTCTGTTTTGCAGCCGTGTAGCAACTCAGTGTTTGAACAACGTTTCGTTGCATAGATTAATAAACTACAAGATTATACACCGATTTAAGAATTAATACACCTTAGACAGTGCTTACATACAATTACTATTATATCAATTTTTTCCTAATCCGTTTATAGGCATCGCTGCATTTGAAAATATTCACCCTTTAAAATAACCAATTCTGTTTTTGTTTACGTCTAAGGAACAAAAAAAAATAAAGTACGAATTTAAACCATTAATATACTATACTTGAGTCACATTTCATTAATAAATACAATTATTTTTTATGGCTCATTCAAATTTTACTTTATAGTACTCTATATATTTCAAAACGATTTTTAATTATTTATAAAACATTTGAATGAAATTTGTAGAAAACAATTTAATAATAAAATGAAACTCTTGAGAAAGTCACCAAAGAACACGCAGAGCTACTCAATATGCCAATTTGAAACGTACGACGAATCATAAATTGACCGAGAGAAAGCATCACTGATCATAACATAAATTTCTTTAAATCAAATTTGTCTTTAATTACTATTTAAAGTGTTTTGGGCTTTTCAAGTATATTTAAATGACATTCGATAATTTTTTTTAATAATCATCAAGTTTTTTATCTAGTGCGAAATATGTAACCGGGCAAAGTTTCGGAAGAAATATTAATTATGGTTAAAAGTGACTAAAAAACATTTTAAAGTATGCATCATGGAAAAATACAGTGGTGCAATTCAAAATAAAGTCAAATAATAGTAATTTACGATACAAGTGCTATAAGTAACACTTTTTGGCACGGCGTAGTTTAGGGCTCGATCGCAGCGAAGGTCCTAATAGCTGGGCCGAAAAGTGTCCCTATGGCACGAGTATCTTACAACATTTTATAGCACTGTTGTTATGTTTGAAAAACTTTTTTTTCATAGTTTTCAATAGAATAAATGATTATATTAAAATTGATGGTAAATTATTGCTTCAATTGATGCAACAGAAACTAATTTTGAAAAACTGTCATATAAATGTTCACTATTTTTTAAATAAAATCAATGAGGATGATATTAATAAACTGATTTAAAAAATGTTTAAGCGAGAAAGGGCTGTCCTAGTGTTCGAAGATGAGGACCAAAAAATAATGTTAAGATCTATCCATTTTATTCCTTTCAACTGTTCAGCTAGAATTTCTCTACAGCAGAAAAAAGTGTCTAACCATGTGGGTGAAGTGGATATGATCAGGTAGTAC